AGAAGTCTCTGATTGCAGACTTTCCCATTGTAATACATCTCCTGATCTCCTGGACTTACTGCTTGATTTTTCTATCAACTTACATCTGCTCTGAAATATCTGTTGTTGTTGTTGATTGTCTTCAAGTCAAGCATGACTCACAGCGACCCTATGAACAAAAGGCCTGAAGCCCCTCTATCCACCGTTCATCAGCGAGTTTCTGGAAGAAGTGGATGCCACTCCTGTTTCAAATCTGAAATAATGTGAATCTTTCAAAGTAATACCCTGAAAATTAAGATAAATGAGTGAAAAAATAACATCAACAGATCAAATTGCCAAGCATTATAGAGTGAATAATAAGAGCTAACACGAGGACTGAGATGCACGCTGAAAACGAATTCTAGTCAGTTTTCCTGGATCAGCATGACCCTAAAGAAGAGGAAGAGAGAGAAAGTGCACGAGATCACAGACAACAGATAACTACAGACACAACCCTGTAAGTGGGGAGTTGGGCAGACAGGACAGATGAACAGAAAGGGACTATACCTACCACTGGGATACATGGTTTGAAAGATGGTATGTCTATCTGCTTATCTGTATGTGCCATAGACACATCCACACATATGGTAGCGCCAACGAGGGCAAAGTTACTGAGGGAATAAGTCACTGGTCACAGTGCCTCAGGACAATAGCCTTAGAAGGCATCAAGCTAGACTAGTTAACACAGTTCACAGACACTCCACACTGCTGAGCTTCAAAGCACTGAAGCAGTCATTTAACCAAGGTGAAGAAATGCAAGGACCAGCAAAGACTGACAGTCTTCTCAAACCTCAACCTCCACAGTCTGATGACTGCTTCCTGGTCCAAGTACAGGTTTCACATAAGCACAATCATGTGATCTGGGATTCCCATTATCCTCAAGGTTAGTAACAATTTGTTGTGATCCACACAGTTAAAATGTCTTTGCATAGTCAATCAAACACATTTTCTAGTAAAATGCCTGAAAACTTTATAAATAAAAAGAAACAGTCTTTTGGGTTGTTGTAAAAACAGATGTAAAAAAAATTAAAAAAAAGCTATGTGATTTACAAGGGAAATAAAATTGTATTGTTAGACTTGATAGCACTGTTTTCTGTCAGGAGAAAAGTGAGAAGCTTATTTAAATACTTTACGAAAGTCAAATAAACGAAAGATCTAACAGAATTGACTTTCACGCGTAAAGGAAACAAACATCAACCTGCTGGAGCCAGCCCCTCCTGAGGTGCCAAAGTGACTGCAGGGCATCAGAGCGACCATGGCACCAGGGCACAGGGATCAAGGAGAGAAGACAGAGCCCCAGAACTCCAGAGAAGGTATGGGAGGGCATGGGCACACCAAACAAGAACGGTGACGTTTTATCCTCACAGCCAGTGGTAGACTGAGGGCAATGAGCTGAGTGTTGCTTGCGGTGAGCAGGATAAGACAAGGGAGAACTCAAAGACATTGGGCCTCTGTCCACCTGTGTCGAGGATCAGCATCTGGGCTGGTAAAGAAGGAAGTATAAATGTGATCCAAAAGAGGATTGAGAAAAACAAGCCTCAGCATGACCTAAAAATATGAACCTACCCCAAAGAATGTCTTCCTTTACAACACAGGTGTACACTGGGTACAGACATGCCTGTGGAGTTGTGTGTCTGTGTCTACGTTTCCCAGCTGTTTGCTGGAAAGGCCTGGAAACAGTGACCAACTGGGCTCCCTCGGGGTGGGTCACAGGGCATTGTCCCATCACAGGAATCAGCACGTCTCAGAGAGCTGGGCCAAGGAGTGCATGGCGAGCCTGAGACCAACGGTCACCACACAGCAAGCAAGACTCTGAAGGCAACAGGACACAAAGAAGGGGCTCAGCGTCATAGACAATCCTCCCTGCAGGTGAAGCTGAGACAGCTGAACTTAAGTACAGCCCAAAACCACCTGCGTGAGGCCTGTCAAGTACACTGACTTTGAGCCTATAAGAAGGCTACTTTAAGTTGATCATGTTTTCAAGATGAAAGAAAAAGAACCCCTCATTATCCATGAAGCTCATACAAAACAAAACAAAACAAAAAAACAGAAAAAAAAATTCTAGAACCTCTGCTCAGCCCTTCCTGTAGGAACTACACCATACCACTGAGTTGGCCAAACCAAGGCCAAGGCCAAGCATCTCTTCCCACCATTTCATGAACTGAGAGGACATCTGCCCTCTGCCAAGTTGATGAGGTGGGACACTGAACACTGGCTCCCAACTGCACAGCCAAGAAGAGCCTTTCCCTGGCGAGGTCTGCAAGTCTGGTCTCAGAGGGCTGTATATATTGCAGGCGCAGGCCACGGAGGAGGGGCAAACAGTGAAACATAGACACAGCAAATTTTAGAAACTTGCAAGATTAAACAAGTGTATGCACTTACTTTTTCCCTTCTAGCAAAAAGCCACAAAAACACCAGGGAAGTTATGCTATCAGAGACCAGAGTCACCTTTAGAGGAGGTAGAAGGCTGCATGGGACTGGGACTCTGGGAAAGACTTCTGAAGTGGTCAGCGAAGTTTTTACCTGAGCCGTGACTACCTGGGTACCTACCATTTAATCATCCATGTTTCTGGACCACAGAAGGTGGGGATAAAAACCTGACACCTGGCTGTGCTCACTTTTCATCAGACACTGTTGTCAACTCTTCACCTGTACAAACGCATCCTGCCCTCCAATGGCTGAGAGAAGACCCATCTCCATTTACAGACGAGACTACAGGAGCCACAGATCAAGTTCCACTGACCTGCACAAGATCCTGACCCTCATAAACCACTGAGCAGACAGAAGTTAAACTGAGATGCAGCTCTAATGAGGCACGTTCATGTTTTGACAAGTCTCAGGGGACTCAGCTCAGGAGCATCAGGAACTGGACAGTGAACAAGGATAGATAGGTTCTCGACGAAGTCCACATGTGAGAGATCTCACTACACAGAGAGATGTCAACTGGGAGTGGGGGGCGTTTCATAGCAGACAAAAACAAGGAAGCATCAGGAAGGCACTGAGCAAGTAAAACATGTTTTCTTATGCGGGAGCGCAAGTGAGCGAAACAGAGTGGCTCAGTTAAATATCAACACTATCCCTCAGAGATAAAGGGAGAGAAAAGCAGGTTCCAGGATGAATCACGCTGTGAAGGCCTTGACTGAGAAATGAAGCACAGATGGTTACTACTGACAAATCCAAATACACGCAGCACGTCTACATCTAACCTGTACTAATGGCAACATCAGGTGTGGGGAACCACAAAGATACTCCAACATTATCTACTGGAGTGTTAAAAATGCAAGCAAATTCAGTAACTCGTCAGCCTTGAAGAATAGCATTAAAGCAAACCACGGTCCCCGCCAGAGTTGATTTCAACTCACAAGGACCCTCCAGAGCAGGTTTCCAAGGTGGCCATCATTCCCCAAGCCTGGCTCATCTTCCTCCCACAGAATGCTGTGTCTTAACCATGGTACCACCAGGGCCCCTTGGGTAGTGGCAAGGGGTAGGTCTTTTGAAGACGCCTCAGCCAGCTCCATGTCTTCTAGGCTCTCCACGTGTGAGACGGAGCTGTCCCAGGACTTCTGGAGCTGCTGTGGCAAATCCAGAGGGGAGCGCTCTTGTGATAGCACTTGATCAGAAAGAGGAGTCTGCTCTCATCTTCCTGGGACACCACCTGCAGCCCCCATGGTGGGGACCTCCACAAGGCTGGGCAGCCTCCTCCTGCTCCTGGAACTGACTGCCAGGCACACAGGATGTCCACAGGATGTCCACTGTGGACACTCCTGGAGGAAATGGTATACTTGTGCACTGTGTGGATGGTATAAAGAATGAAAAGGAGAACTTTGCCAAGTAAGATGTTAGACCTGACAGGAGTCTATAGGGCAACAGGACATTCACAGACCACAGTGAGTCACCTGGAACGGTGGCTCAGAGGGGGACGTTGCCAACTAGCAGTGATAGTTACTGCTTGAAGTGCGAAGGCAGGCGTGGAAATGAAGTACACACTTAGGGAAAGAGAGAGGCTGGCGACAGCAGTGTGAACATGAGCACAAACTACGCATCATCGTGAGACCGGTCAGGTGTAAAGACGATACAAAGGGGGCTTCTTCCTTTTACTTTAATAACATCCTTACCCGTTAAAAGTACATCCTGATATTATAGGAGGAAAAACCTAGTAAATCCTAGAAAATACTTTGAAATATTCCTGGGAAAGGACAATGGGGTGGGAAGAACAGAAGAAACAAGGTTGGTAACTATTACATGATAGAGAATTGGTGCCTTTGAGTTGTGGTGCTGGAGAAGAGTGTTGAATATACCATGGACTGCCAGGAGAACAAATAGGCTTGTCCCAGAGAAGGTGAAGCTAGGCTGCTCCTTGGAGGCAAGGATTCTAAAGCTCTGTCTGACATACTTTGGGCATGTTGCAAGGAGGGACCAGTCCTTGGAGAAGGACATCATGTTTGGGAGTGTGAAGGGGCAGTGCAGGAGAAGACCCTCGGTGAGATGTATCAATTCAGTGATTGGGGTGGCTGGAATAGGTGTGTGGGAGACGATGAAGTTGGCACAGGATAGAGCAGGGTTTAGAGGACTTGTACATAGGGTCGCTACTAGTTGCAAGTGACTCAAAGGCACATAATAACAACCACCAAACTGACAGCTGACCAAGTGAGACCCTCTCTAGTTCTGAGCATGTGTGGAATTTTCCAGAATTCAAGTTTTGTAAGGCTGTATTCTACAGAACTGACTGTTCTCACTCTCAGGAAAACCCAAGTACGTTGCAATGAGCACCCGCCACCCCACGAGCTCTCTCCCCATCAGCACACTGCGGTGGGCACCCGCCACCCCACGGGCTCTCTCCTCATCAGCACGTTGCAATGAGCGCCCACCACCCCACGAACTCTCCCCTCTACAGCAGCTCTGCGGGGTCCCAGGGACGACGTGCCCCAAGGCCAGTCGTGCAGTGCCCTGGCCTGGCCTCACCCCTGGGCAGCGGGCTTTACCTGCAGTTGTCCTTGAACCGGCACTTGCCCTCCAGGAAGAAGGAGCAGGGCTTCAGGGACTTGTGCGTCGGGTAGAGGTAGAGCACTCGCACTGCGGCCGGGCCGCCCTCGGCCCGCTCGGCGCCCACGACCATGGCGTTGTGATACTCCAGGGTGCCCCACGGGCTGTAGTAGGGCGCGCTCACTTTCGTCCCGCTCAGCTCGGCCTCCTGCTCCGGGCTGCGGGGCTCGCGCGCTGCCTCTCCCGCAGCGGGGGTCTCCAGGCCGGCCCCTGCGGCCGCTGGTCCGTCCTCGCCCTCAGCCTCGGCCACAGCCTGCTGGGAGGCCAGGTGCGCTTGGTCCAGCGTGGCCAGCAGCTTGCTCTTCCTGACCGACACCAGGCTGGCCTCGGTGAGCTCGATGAGCTCCCGCAGGTCCCCGTGCAGCTGGCGCAGGTCGGCCTGCTCCGAGGAGTCCAGGCCGGCGCCCAGGGCCAGCTCCACCTGCTGCAGCTGCGCACGGTAAGTCTGCAGGGCCGTCTCCAGGCTGCCCTCGTCCATCCTGGGCTCGGTGGGTCCTCCTCGCAGGGCGGCTGCGGCAGCTGGAGCTGCAACGAGAGGGCCGCTGAGTCGCCCCCAGGCCGCCCTCCCACGCCCTCACCGGGGGCACGCTGGCGGGGTCGGCCCGCACCGAGCGAACCGGAGCAGCCTCGTCCGACGGCCCAGGGCTGCACTACCCTCCCGAGGCCTGGTGCGGCCGCGCGGCGCCTGGGCCCGCTCTCAGCTCCGCCTGCGCTCCGGGCCACCGGCCGGTGACTGAGAAGCCCGCTCCGCCAACTCTCCGGGCCGCCCCTGGAGCGGCCGGGGCTCCGCGACCGCCGACTCTGCGCCCAAGGCCGCGCCCACCTCTGCTCCACCCCTCGCCTCAGATCCGAACCCTTGCGGCTCCCAAGCCTCCGCCACAGAGCCCGCCTCACCGGCTAGAGCGGTCCGGTCGTCCTCCTTCCGCCTCGCGCCCACGCCACTTCCTCCCGATAGATGCCGCCGCCGGAAGTGCGCGACGCGGGCGCCGCCGGAAGTGCGCGGCGCGGGGGCCGTCGGGATGCCGCTCTAGCCGAGACTCCCGGCAGTCGCCGCGCGGGGTCGGACGCCGGTCGGGGGCCGGTCGGGCGCCGCCGAGGCCCGCGGACAGGTAGATCGGCTGGCCTGGGGGCCGGGCGGAGGCCTGGTGAGGGTCGGCGTCGTGGGGCCACAGCCCGGAGCTCGGGGGCTGCAGAGGCGGGTGTGCAGGGCCGCCGACCAGCAGTGTGGTCCGTCTCACTGGACGGCGTCCCACCAGGGACCCCCGGCGAGTGCCGGCTCCGAGTTCGCTGCCCCAGGCCGACTGGCGGAGCCTGGCAGGTGGCCGCAGGGAGGACGGGGCGCGAGTGTGTACAGCTCAGGGTCCTTCGTGTGGGGGGAGGGCAGGGTCACTCCCGGGGACATCGCTTGTGCGCGTCTGGAAGGGCCGCAGTAGGTGCTGGAAGCAGAGTGACCCGGAGTGGCCAGGAGCTCTAGTGACCACCGCGCGGTGCCCGTGCAGGGCCCGCCCTGGTCGGAACAGTCGGGCACACGAGCAGAGAGCGGGTTCCCAGCTGGAGAAGACGGGCGAGCAGGCCTGTGCCTTGACTGGAGTGTCCCGGGCAGGATGTACACCCTGCTCTCCGGCCTGTACAAGTACGTCTTCCAGAAGGACGAGTACTGCATCCTGATCCTGGGCCTGGACAACGCCGGGAAGACGGTGCGTGCTGGGCTCTTCCGCTGCCCACTGCCCACGGGCAGGGAGAAGGTGGACCTGGCTGCTGGAGAGTGGGCCCTGGGGCAGCTGGGAGGAAGCTGGGGACCGGGCTCGCCCACGAGCTGACCGCCTTGCCTCCGCAGACCTTCTTGGAGCAGTCAAAAACGCGTTTTCACAAGCACTACAAGGGGATGAGTCTGTCCAAGATCACCACGACCGTGGGCCTCAACAGTGAGTGGGCTTCCGGGGACCCTGAGCCTGTGGGGCGGGTGCGGCCTGGGGGCCGTGGAAGAGCCAGCTCACCACCTGGCACTGTCCCTCCCAGTCGGCACCGTGGACGTGGGGAAGGCCCGCCTCATGTTCTGGGACTTAGGGGGACAGGAGGAGCTGCAGTCTCTGTGGGACAAGGTAAGGCACCAAGGGCAGGGGTGGATGTGTGTGTCTCCTGCCCGCTACCACTCTTCTGTTTCTCCCAGGCCCAACTCTGCTTCTCTCCCACCGTTTTGAAGGCCTTCCTCCTTGGGCCCACCCCTGGCTCCTGGGCTGCCACCCTAAAATCAAGGAGGCCCTTGAATGAGGGTCTTCTTGTGCTTGCACTGTGTCTTTGAGTGGGCCACCACTACTGGTTTCCTGCTCTGAAAATCCAGCCTGTGAGAGGTGTTGATGCCATGCAGGGAGTATGCTGCCTTTGTTTGTAGTAGCTGTGACTGAATTTTCTGGACTAGTCAGAAGTCCTGGTCAGCACACAGGCCATAGAAGGAACCATACAGCTGTTTTTCAGTCACCAAGAAGGGGCAGAATGCTCGCTGGGGACGAAAACTGGGCCTTGAGCAGAGAAGACGCAGTCAGGCCAAGGTGCATGCTGGAAGGTGTGGCAGGTGGTTGGCCCTTTGGAGATGAAGTGCTTCTGCAGGAAATGATAGTGGGTGGGGCTGCTGGGAGCACTGTCCACTGCTGGGCTGCTTCTGAGCCATTGTAGATTGGACACCTGGGGTCTCAGTGGCCTCTCATGTTCCTCTGCTGCCTTGCTTGGGCCCTCAGTCTTAGCTAGTAGTTGTGCTGACCCTAGTCACTTTACTGCCTGTATGACCTGGACATGGCACCAGTTTTGGCCTCGGCAGCTATCCCTTGCCGTGGTGTTCAGGCACTTAGAGTTCCTGGGATGAGGCCTGGTACAGCCGTAGTTTGCAGTTCACTTGGGGTGTCCTTCCATAAGAATACTCTTTGAGGATCCAGGCCTCTAGTTGCAGGCCCCACACAGTCACTGGGAGGAGAGGGCCGACCACCCTTCATGCTGTTTCTTACATCAGTGTGCCTTTTGCTGGAAGGAGTGGCCATGCCACCTGGGGAGGATGCTGGTCAGTGAGTGAGTGTAGGGTCTTGCGCCCGTTGGACAGGGCTAAGGTATGTGCACATGTGATGTCTGCGGTGCCGCCTAGCTCTCTGTTCTGCAACGTCCTTTCCAGTATCTCCTGGCAGCCCTCAGTGCTACTGGACCTCCGTGGTAGGAGAGGCAGCTTGTCCTCGTGCATGTCTGCAGGAGGGGAGGGTCTGCTTTAGTCCTCTTGTTTGCGCAGGCCTAGGGCCCTGGGTGCAGTGACACCCCGAGGGATCTCCTTGCTGCTGGCAGCTCCTCAGCCTGGTCTTTGCTGCCTCAGACCCTCTGGCTGTGGCTGGCTGGCTTCGTTCCCCCCCAGACTAAGTTGCCAGTTCTGGCTTACTACCTGAGGTCTGTCTCCACACTCTGGGCTGGTCACATGTCGTGTGGTGCTGTCCTGTCTGACGTGTGCCCAACAGCCAAGCTTGCATGCCTCCTGCCTCAGGTCTCTCCTCTCCACTGGTGGCACAGGGTCTCTCTGTGACCACAGGTATGAGCGCACACTGGAAGCAACTCCCACTGGCTGTTTGCCCTCAGTCCTAGCACCTGAGCACTTCCTCAGGCAGCCTGCTGCTGGCTCGTCCACTTCACATATGGTTGATCTGATGAGAGCTCTGAAGGTGGCAGATCTAACCAGATGTCCTCTGCAGTCCTGGCAGGTGCTCTTTCTCCAGGGCATAAAGGTCTCATCAGGAGCTGTCAGGTGACCGGACTTGCCACTAGGCCTGGGGTCTGCTCCTGCCAGCAGGCTTCTGGCCAAAGAAATGACCCACCCAGGCATCCCTAGGGCTGCCAGCCTTCAGGGTCACCCTGTGCAGGACTGGGTGCCTCCGGGTCCTGCGGCAGACACCAAATGCTGACAAAAGGTGCAGGGTGTATCTTTCTTGGGGGGCTTTCTTCTAGCCTCTTGCTGTGACAGTGCAGTCTGCAGAGGTCCCTGAGTCCTCCTATTTTCATTTCTCTCTCATCCATTTTTATGTGTATGATTTGAGTGAAAATTTGTAGGGTAAATTGGCTTTCTAGTCAGCCACTTACATGTATTGCATTTATGAAATCAGTATCATTCCTCCTGTCCTCTTCTGCTTGTCCATGTGTTGGTCCTTGGCTCCACTTGGTCATGTCACTGCTATAGACATAGTTCAGCCACCAGGGAAAGGACAGAGGACTGAGCAGAGGAAGATGTCACTCAGTAGTTCTTGTCCCACTCAGCATCTCCCCCTCAGAGGCGGTCCTTCTCCCTGAGGCCTAAGGGAACTGATGGTGGTTCCCCTGCCACGGTCAGAGGCTGTGTGCTGAGCAGGGTCCAGGAGTGCGCCTCTTGTCCACCATGGCACTGCATTCCCTGAGCACCTTTTCTGCATACCTATCCCCTGGATGTGAGTCCAGTGTTGGTCACGGTGAGGGCTGGTGTGGCAGCTGTGGACACAGCTCGTCTCATCAGCCTCGCTATGGCCCCTTCTCTTTAGTACTACGCTGAATGCCACGGAGTCATCTATGTCATCGACTCCACCGATGAGGGGCGGCTCTCTGAGTCCAAGCGTGCTTTTGGTAAGCTCTGGGCCAGCATTGGAAGGGGCTGGGGATAAGGGCTGGCATTGGAGGAAGGTGAGGATGAAGGACCTGGGCCAGGCTTACACACTTCTTGTTCCCCCAGAGAAGATGGTTACAAATGAGGCACTGGAGGGTGTCCCCATCCTCGTGCTGGCCAACAAGCAGGATGTGGAGGTGAGCTGCCAGCCGGGCCCCTTGCTGTGGTGGCTGTGTCCCAGCAGTGTGTGGTGGTTCTCACACCCCATGCACATCAGCCTGCATGCAGTGATGAGGACCCCAGCCATGCCCATAGCTTCCCTCCAACAGCCAGGACAGACTTGGGCTGCCCACCTGCTCTGTGGTGCTGCCAGTCTGGAGGGCTGAGATAGAAGAATGTTCACTCTGGAGTAGGGCGGCTAGAGCCCAGGGATGGAGGATTCCAGGTAGGACACCCCCTCCCCGTTCCTAGGACTGCTGTCACCATCCAACATCCCTGCCAGTGAAGTCCCATTTGAGCAGCCACATGGGCACTTAGTGGGCCAGTGGCTATCCTTGACCATTCAGGATGGAGGGCTGTGCTGTGCCCAGGAGCGCAGCCTGTCCTCAGATCCTTGCCTCCTGCAGACCTGCCTCTCCATCCCTGACATCAAGACTGCCTTCAGTGACTGCATCTCCAAGATAGGGCGGCGTGACTGTCTGACCCAGGCCTGCTCTGCACTCACTGGGTGAGGGGGGTGCCCAGGTGGTGGTGGGGGGCATGGTCTGCTTTCAGCCACTTAACCCTGGTCTCTGCAGGAAAGGTGTCAACGAGGGCATCGAATGGATGGTCAAGTGTGTTGTGCGCAATATCCACCGGCCACCTCGGCAGAGGGACATCACGTAGGCCCAGAGACAGCTGGGCACTGACTGCTGGGTCTCCTCTGTCTTCATTTGTTTCCTCTAAGAAACATCATGTGCAGAATAGTGGGTGTCTGGAGGCCTCTGCAGTGTGTGTGGGGTGGATCTGCGGGATGTAGGGGGTGGGAAGGTGCTCCCCATCTCACCCTCCAGACACTACGCGGGGTGGTCACCCCCATGCCCTCTCCCACTCAGCCCAGGGTGGGGTATTCTGTAGCGTCTTGAGCATCACCACCTGTAACACTTGGACCTCTGGGAGTGGGGGGTGGGGACTGCACCTGTGGCTTCCTCCTGGGCGGGGGTGTTGTGTGTCAGGGATTCTCAGGAAGGGGCAGGCCTCTTGTGGACGGTGCTTGATGGGTGTAGAAAAGCTGGAAGCCAAGATGTAGTGCTGGTGTCCCTACCCCCTCTGCAGTGCCTCAACTCAGCCCTCCCTCCAGACCAAGGCCAGGGCTGAGGCTCTGCGTTGTGGAGGTGGATCCCCATGGAGCCAGGTGTACTCCCTCTGAGAAAGGGAAGGGATTTCTTCCAGAGGTCCCCGAGTCCCCAGTCTAGGGGAGGAGTGCCTTCACCCCGTATCTGCATGGCAGGTGGAACAGCAGGAACACTGGGTCCTCCCCATGTGCTCAGCCACTGAGGGCACACGGCCAGAGCTACATCTGTCCAGGGTGAAGGGTGACAAAGCCAGTCTGAGTGGCTCTCCGCCCCATCTTCCTGTGGCTGGGGGAAGGCAGAGTACAGGTCACAAGGGCACTGATCATTGAGCCTGGCACCATGGTATGAGGCCCCATGGGAAGTAAACATGCAGGAGGAGCAGAGGTGGTAGGCACAAGGAGATCTGTTGCAGTTGGCATCAGGTCAGTCACACTGGCCTGCTCTGGGTGGGTAGTTGCTGGGTGTGGGGTCTCAAACTGGTCAGACTGGCTTGGAGACCCTACCTCCTTCCCTGAGGTAGCAGAAGGGGGAGGGGGCTGGACCTACAGAAATGGGACCTCCAGAGGTTACATCCTAGTCTAGCCCCTCAAGAGAAGAAAAGCCTTTTCCCAGAAAGCATGCCGGGTGGCCAGGCAGCAGCCAATGGGAGGAGGCACCCTGGACGCCTGCCTGCACCCAGCCTCTTCTGGGAAATTCTCCAGACAGCTGGCAAGCATTCAGACTCCTGGGCTCTTAGAGTGCCCTCTAAGTTACCCTTTCTGGCATGCCACTGACACCCCACCCCACCCACGCCCCAGGTATGCACAGCCCTGGCAAGGTGTCCAGCTGGAGACTCTAAGGAGCCACATGCATCACCCACATCCACCCTCCCTGTGGTGGCATGTCTGGCTCCCCCGTTCAGGGAGTGGCTTGGGAAGTCACAGGAAGGGTGCTGGCCAGGTGCTTCTGCCTTGGGCCCAGGAGAGTATGAGACTTAACAGCACCATGCTAGAAAACAGCTTTACAATAAAACTTTGTTCATGCAAAGGCCTGGGTCGTGGCTGGGAGAATAAATAGGGCCAGGGGTGAGGAGCTCAGTGTGCAAGGGAGAAGCGCATCCACATGCTGTGCTCCAGCCCTGCCAGCCTAGCGGCCCGTAGTGCCCCAGTGCCCAGCTCTGCCAGCTGCTCCCACAGCACTTGCTGCAAGGCAGTGGTGTGCCTGTCCTTGTGTAGGGGCAGTGGTGACTTTGGCCGTCCAGGGCCTGCTGCAACCCCAACAGCTTCCTGAAAGAAATATCCTGGAAGGCCACGAAGTCCATAAGGGCATGTTCACACTCGGCATGCCCTGTGGGAGGGGATTCCAGTCAGGCACTGAGTGGCCAACAAGGGCTGGGCAAACCATGGTGGCACAGGAGGGAGCAGTGGTCATGCATGAGGTGGAGGGGGTGGTCACACAGGAACATGCAGAGAGGCTCATGCTGGGGGAGGGGCTGGCAGGTGACAGGAGCTGCCACTGCTTCACAGCTCTGGGCCTCGGTTTCTTGCTTAGAAAGGGGGAAAGTGCTTCCTTTACCTGCCTCAGAGGCTGACACTTCTGCTCACCTGGCTCCAGGGCGCTGAGAGAGAAGCTGGGACAGCTAGTGCACCTGGCATTGTGGAAGGAGGAGCCGGCTACGTTGAGGGTCAGGTCGAGGGCTGTACAGTTGCAGTGGGGTTGGCAGCACTGTGTGCTTGAGCTGCTGTCCAAGAAGGTACCCACAGGGCACAGCTGACACTGTGTTCCAACTGGGGGTTCCTGGAGTGGAGCATGGGAGGATGGGGTCATGAGCAGCAGGGCTGGAGCACCCAGCCCGTGTCCCCATCCCCAACACCCACCAGGAGTGAGCACGCCAGCACCAGGTGGGCACGGTAGATGCTCCAGGCAGAAGCCGGCATGGGCAAAGAAGCTGGGCCCACAGCAGCAAGCACAGTTGTGGCTGGCGCTGCAGGCTCGCACCTCCTCGTGCTCCCCACAGAAGATGTTGCAGTAGCAGCAGCGCTCCAAGTAGTTCCAGAACTGTGTATAGTGACATAGGTGGGCACGCGTTGCACACTGTGGGGCTTCTCATGGCCACAGGGCCGCTGCATGAAGGTGCCTGGCGGGCACTGATCACACACCAGCCAGTCATGTGTCACAGTGTCCCACCTTAGGAAGGGGGACATGTTGGTCACTGTCCCAAGTACAACCAGCAACAAAGGCAGGGCGGGCAGTGCCCACAGCAGGGCCTGTCTCATCCACTCAGCTACCCTCTTGGTCCTCACTGGACAGATGCTTTTGCCTCAGGGCACTTTGCTGCAGAGGGTACTGGTTGGCCCCTGGAATGCCCAGAGGCGCTCACACCTACCTGTCTCCTGTGCCCCTTAGCACACCTCCAGCAGCATTATTTATGGAGAGGGGTGCGGTCAGGACTAGACAGCCCCACCATCATGAAAGGAGGGCCAGCTGCGAGGCAGTTTTTTGGCAATCTCACAGCACCCTCCTCCCTAAAGCTCTTCAGGGCTCCAGTTCAGAAAAGGGATTGCATGTGTGTGCACACACAGCTGTGGGACCCGTTTGCCACCTTGCTTTAAGAATGGCTCTGGGAGCTAAGCCTTTATATATTGCACCCCCTGGGGCCCAAAACATAACAGGCAGACAGTTGCAAACACAACCGGCAGCTTTATTCAGAGGGATCCCACTTGAAATTCTCGAGTCAGCCGAGGGATGTGTCCAGGCATGGCACTAGGGCACCAGAGACCAGGCTCTCTGCAGGATTCTCAGTGGGATCCCACTCATGAGGTCTGGGACAGGCTGAACACATTCTAGAGACCTGTGGGAGAGCACTAGCTGACAGGCTACCGAGCACCCACGCAGAGATGGGTATTAGGGTCAGTTAATGCTTGAGGCTCAGGGCTGACCTGAAGGTGCTGGTGCCTGCATGCCTGGCAGCTAAGGAAGTCACAGGCAGAGTCCTGGAAGGGCCCCTTGTCTACCCCCCCCCAGCAGAGCATGAGGGCCCGCTGCCCCTGGCCATGGGCACTAAAGGTGCTCTGCACAGGACCCCTCCCTTGACCTGCCCTGTGGGAACTCTGACCATAGGCAGGCTCTTAGGGACAGTGTCAGTACCTGTGTTCTCGGCTGCTCTCTGTCCTGAGCAAAAGGCAGAAATCTTGCTCTGAACCTTACTGGGTTTCTCAGACTGTGAGGGACCTAGGAACAGCGAAGAAAGTCCAGAAAGGATGGTGGTGCTCCCCTCCCCAAGCCAAACTGCAGCCCCTAAAGCAGCATACCCTACCTGGCCTGGCAGGTGGCCCTGCCTGGCAGGCAAGCTCAGGGCCAGGAAGCTCGGCAAGGCCAGCATCTGGGGATTCCAGGGGCTCCTGGGCCGTACCTAGACCAGACTGGCCAGTTAGGTCCACACAAGTTTGCCTAAACTGCCTCTGGTGGTGCGGGCGCACAAACATGCCAAATCCTATGGGAAGAGGTGCTCGGTCACAACCTTCCGCAGGCCCCCTCAGCACCCCGACCATCCCCCTTCCCAGTGCCCCCTCATCTCCTTCCAGGGCTACTTGCTGTGCAGCAATGGGAAGTCTTCAGGCCTGGCAGTGGTGAGGGCGGCCACCACAGTCACCACCTTCTCATAGTTGTCATCCTTCTTATATGTGGTTATTGCTTCCAGGAGCTGGCTGCAGCCTTCAGCCCCCAGAGCCCTTCGGACATCAGTCAGATAGGCAGTCGAGGAGGTCCAGCTCTGCTGGTCCCTTCCCAGGTGGCCACTTGTCTCTCCTAGCAAGAAAACACTGGACTTAGGGCCACATCTGAGCACCCGGACTGTGGAGATACCATTGCTGACACCAAGTAACACCTCTTCCAGAACAAGTGACATTCTCCCCTCCAAAGAGTGGGCTAAGGTCTCCAGTTACCTGTGGTGGCAAACCTGGGGTTCAGATGGGGCCCACCCTGGTTCAGGTGCCCCCTGGGGTCAAGTTGCTTGGTGGCATCCTTGGAAACTGTCACCTTCGGTTCAGGCTCCCGCTTTCCTGGCAAAACACTGCTGAGGTGATGGGTTGGCACCAGAGGGAAGCACTATGTTCCCAGGTTTGGAAAGTCCCTGTGAGAAGGCTGCACAGGCCCACCTGCACACAGCTGGCACAGTGCCCCATGGTGCCCACCCGCAGCTGGCAAAGCCCCACACAGCACCTGCCCCTGACACAGCCCAGGGTCCTAAGCTCAGAGTGGGGTGGCTAGCCCTCAGGTGACACGTGTCACTGGGGAAGCCTGCCCAAGTGCAGTTGTCCATTTCCCAGCATGGGTACAATTGGTGCTACTCGGGCAGTGCTGGGACCAGCTCCAGGTATGGACAAGGGGAGGGACTAATGAGGCTCACCACCAGAGTCAGCGTGGGGCCCTCGGGGAAGGCTGTGTGCCAGCTGGTAGCCACAGCCCTGGCCAGTCAGCTGGAGGCAAACCGCCTCAAACTGCTGCTTGTGATGTGGTCGCACAAACTGGTAGAGTCCTGTGGAGAGGGGGCTGCTGAGGACTGGCCTGGAATACCAGGCTGACCCTCCCCTGGCTCCTCTTTGGGGACCTCTGGCCTGGTCACCTCGGAGCAGGCCATGTTTGCCAGGCTCTTCAGCAAAGAGGGGTTTAAGGCTGGCAGTGAGGCCGTCGAGGTCGTCGGAAGTCTTGTAGTCCCTCAGGGCTGTGGTGAAGGCATCAAAGCTGGCCTGGCTCAGGGCCTGCTTCACAGATGTCATGAACAGCTTGGCCTTGTCTGCCTGCTCAGCAGATACTGGTGCAGGGGCCTCCTGGGGATAGAAAAGCACTGGTCAGGGGACCCTGGGGCAGAGCAGACACTGGCTGGCATGAACTTGGCTCCCATCCACCCTTTGTAGAGCCCCACACCTCCTAGACACCTGACTTGACACTGCACCTTAACTAGGAATCAAGGAGACTGAGACCAGAAGGGGCCATGCCTCTCTTTCCTGCCCCTTCTCTGTCTTTAGTCCCACCACTACTTCCCTCACTCGGATTTGGCCTGTGGCCAGTGCTCCCTAAGCTTGGCCTGACTTCCCAGAAGCCAAGCAGGAGAGGTGGCCAGGAGGGGCTTTCCCAGACGGCTTGTGGGGAACACTTCCTGGATCAGGTCATGACTATGTTGCACACTGAGGCTGTGAGCAGATGGGCCTCTCACCCAGTGGTCAGCTTCAGGGCCAAGTCTAGGACTGTCCTTAATGCCCATAGCTGTGCCAGGGGATCAGGGACCTTAATGGACTCTGTAACTGTCATGCTTACAAGCCACTGTTGTCACCACACGGCACTTACGGGAGACAATGATCTCATGGGTGAGCCACTACAGGAAGCAAAGATCTTACATGGTTTGAGGGCCTCATGGAGTTGAGGGTCTTACTGTGTTGAGATCTTAACTGGGAAGTGTGGGTCTTATGGGGGAGTTATAGCATTCGATGTTAAGAGGTTGAAGGTTTCATGGGGTCAAGTCTTACAGGGTTGAGGATATAAAGGAGGCGTAGGGTATTACTAGAGATGCATTTGGGGTGCTCATCCTCTAGGCTCCAGAGGTGGGACAAGCACACGGGTTATATGTGGGAGTGGCAGTGAGAGAACATCCCACAGCCAACTGGCAATCTCAAATGTCACCCTGAAGTGACAGTAGGACAAGAAGCCAGGTGACTCAGAAATGCAGTGTGGCTGACACAGTGCTACCTATGTTGTCTCTGGGGTAGGTGGCTGTACTAAGGTATGTGTGTCTGGTGACAGTACTGGATCTGGTGCTGAGAGGGAGGGGGTCGGGGGGTGTCTGGTGAAGGTGCTCGGTGTTTGACAGGGAGGGTTGTGTGTGTGTGTCTATCTGGTCACTGTAGTGGAGGGGTATCTGGTAGCCTTAGAGTATATGTGTGTAATGAAACTTTCCTGTAAGGCTAACACAGGTGAGCCCCCCGGGGGCCGGGTCATTTGGGGAAACATTTTAAGAGACTGGAGGATGTAAAACAGGGTCAAGGGTGCTCGCTTCGGCAGCACATATACTAAAATTGGAACGATACAGAGAAGATTAGCATGGCCCCTGCGCAAGGATGACACGCAAATTCGTGAAGCGTTCCATAAAGAAAAAAAAAAGGGTCAAGGGGCAACGCCCAAAGAAATTCAAGTGTGTCTGCGCTGCAGTGAAGGGTGCTGTGCGAGGGTGGGGATCCACATGGCTCTCTCCTTGGTGTTCCCTACACTCCTACCTACAACCTCCTCCCCTGCCTCCAGCCCTTCTCTGTACCTCACCCACCAGTACCCTATCACCTGATGGGGCTCTGAGAATTAGGGAGGAGAGGGTGTCTGGAGTGAGGGGTTGGTTCTGATGGGATAGAGGATCTACAAAACGGGGCTGGTTCTGATGGGTAGGGAGGCCTGGCTCAGCCCACACCTCCCAGCCTCTAGTGTCTCCCTGTTCCCCAGTCCCCTCAGACCCTAGTGAACAAGGAAAATGACTATCCTCCCAGGTGGCTTCTTGGTTGTATGCTAGCCACCACCCGGTCAGTCAGACCACCCGGAACCACACACATCCTGCATCTGCCAGGCTCAGGAGCACCTGTGGGTAGGGACCACTGATGAGTTTGATCCTCTTCCGGCCCCCTCTCTGTTCCTTGGTCAGCCTTCTCTCCTGCTGCTGCTGCAGAGCAGAAAAGTGGTGTGCCTGGTGGTCACAGTCACAGTCCCCAACTGCACTTTCAGCCCCCAGAGTCCCCAAAGCCTACTGGAACACACCACCCAGGTCAAGGTGGGGCAGATGGCACGCAGGCCTCAAGCAGCCCTTTCCCCAGCCATGCCACCTGCCCTCACAGTCTTGACCATGGCACAGGAGGCTGCAGCTCGCAACCCTAAGCACAGCACCAAGGAAGTACGGTGGGCACCTGGTTGGGGCCAGACTGCAGAAGGGAGAGGCCAGTGCCCCAACAGCATCAGCCCTTGACCAAGCTGGGTGGTCAGAGGCTCTGGGTACAGGCTAGGGGTGCTGAGGAAATATGACAGAGCAAAGAAGCTAGGGTCTTGCAGGCCTCACCCCCCTCCTCCCTTGGGAGGGCCTTACCCTCTCTTCTCACCTCTTCCCCCCTTCTCCCCAGGGAGGACCTCACCTCACCCCTTCGTCCCCAGGGAGGGCTGTGTTCCCTCACCCCTCACCTCCTCCTCCCCGGGGACAGCCTTATCCTCGAGCCCTCCAGCTCCCTGCTCGCTGTGCTCCAGGGCAGCCAGCAGCCCCCGGGGTCTCCTCTGGGCCAGCACCAGCTCCTGTTCATACTCCAGGCACACGCTGCTCTCCAGTGACTCTGGGAGAGCATAAGGGGCTTGATGACACCCACTGGGTGGCTCGTCTGGGGGCTCTGGTCATCAGGCCAGTGGGCATCTGCAGCTCTGGCTCCTGGTGACACCTAAGCCCCCACCCTGCCTGAACGAAGGTCCCACCCCATCGGCAGTTTGGGACCCACCCTCACGCCTTCGCTGCAGACTGGGCACGTGGACATCCAGGCTCTTAGCGCTCTGGGTGGGGAGTGTAGTTTCAGGCAGGGCACCTGCCCTCACGGCACTGCCTCCCAGGGCTGGACCTGAGGCAGCAGCTCGGGGAGTGGGCACAGGCATCTAGGGAAGAACAACAGTTGTGAGGCCCCAAGCCTGCCCCCACCCCACTTCTGTGGCCTCATGTGACGGGTGCAGCCACTAAGCCATCTGGGAACGCACCATTCTCTGAGCTACACGGAAGAACTGGGCCACGTCCCGGATGACAGGGCCAAAGCTATCATACACCTGGACAAACGGACGGACCCAAGATGGCAGCTGGGCTCTGGCATCAGCATGGGCAAACCTGGAAAAGGGGTCCCACAAGGTGGGTGATGTGAGGATTCAGACTGTTCCCCACTTCACCGTGGGTCCCGGCTCCAGAAAGGACTTGGGTCTGAGGAAGCACACTCCTACCTATGGTCACAAAGGAAGACAGCTCCGAAGTCCTGCCGATGCCGGATCACCCGTCCGATGGCCTGGTTCACAGCCCTGGATGCCTGCTGCCGGTACCACTCTTGTCCAGAAAGGAACTGGGGGGGAGGGGCAGTCATCAGTGGCTCCCCACCTGAGCTGGTGTCTCTCGGGTCCTGACCCCCAGCCCCCTCACCTGGCCCATGGCTCCACTCTGGCTCTTCTTCATCTCATCCAGGAACTGCATCTTGAGGATGACACGGGGGTCCATGCGTGGTGGGTATGGGAGGCCTGTGATGATCACCCCACGTCCATTCATGTCTGCAAAGTCCAGCCCTTCACTGGCCTGGGAACAGGGGCAGGGAGCTGCTGGCTGCGGGTCCTCCTCTAGCCCAGCCCCTGCATATGGCCAGGACTATTCCTCTCAGCAGAAACCCCCGTATATGGGGGTGGCAGATGCCCTCTTGCCCCACTGGGAGTCTGCAGTCCTGGAATCTCCTAATGTAGGCCTGGACTAAGCACGTCACCGCCCCTCTCACCAGCAGCTGCTGTGTGAGGGGCCCAGGGCCAAGCTGTGGTACTCTCTGATCCTGCCATGATCTCACCTTTCCTCGGCACACGGCCAGGAAGGTGGCCCCGCTGGACGCCGGAGAAGCAACCTTGGTGTAGTAAGCATCAATGACCTGGAAGAGGAGCAGGTCAGTTTGGGCTTGAGTTTTAGCCTACTGGCAGGGAGGCACAGTCAAGGGGTGTCTAGGAGGCATAGGAACCCTGGCACCAGGTGGGGCTGGGAGCCAGGCTCTGGGCAGCTGCTTGGTCAGACAGAGGTCAGCATCATGCTCCAGCACAGCAGGGGTTTCTCTTGGACCAGGGGCTGGGCCTGTGTCTGGGTGGGGTGGCCAGCCTGAGGAGCCAGGGCTGCCGGGAGGAGCAAAGCCCAATTTCACAGACCTCAGCGAAGCCACATTTGCTCCTGGGCTCGACAAACATGGGCTTCAGCTCCTCAATTCTCCGGGCAAAGTCTCGGGCCTGGGGGGCGGAATCAAGTATGACAGCAGGTAGGAAGGCCTTGCCTCCCCCTCCCACCCCTGGCCCCTCCGTGGCCCCCAACACCAGGGCACACCTGCCAGAACTGCAGGCTCTTTTCCATGACGGGGTAGGAAGGGAAGAAGACCAGCAAGCCATGGGGCACCACACGGGCCAGGTTGCCTGCAAGCGGAGTCTATGGTCAGAACCGACCAATGAGGCCCATGGGGATAAGGACAAGGGCAGCCTGCCTTGATGGGTACTCACCCAGAGTCTTCCCCAGTGAAGACAGACACTCCTCAGAAAACCTGGCCAAGTCAAGAGGGCAGCTGCCACGAAAGGTCTGCTGCCTCTGCACCAAGCCCCCCGCCACCTCCCCCAGGCTGGCTCCTCCTCACCAAGGCTGCCCACTTCCCCCAGACCTGCTCCTCACCAAACCCCCACCCACCACCCTTCCCTCAGCCTGCCCCTGCCCAAGGGCCCACCTTACCTCCTGTCAAATGCAGAGCTTAGCTGGGCCCCATCTGGGCCTTTGGGGATGATCCCTACCCAGATCTGATGCTTGTCGATGACGTGGGGGTTCTCCAGGCAGACTGGGAAAGGACTGTGACGAGAGCTCTGGGGAAGGGGGCCATATGGCACCCACCACCCTCCTGGGGCCCACACCTGACAGTGACTACCCCACAGCCCGGACTCTGCCCCTACCCCAGGGTTCCCCCTTACATCTGCATTTCCAGGGCAAAGGAGGACACAGGCGCCAGTGTGCCACTGGTGAGGATAAGCGAGCGCACACCCTGGCAAATGAGCTCTTGCATGCTATGGCCCGGGCTGAAGCACCAGTAACTCAGCACTTTCCCTAAGGAGACACATGAGGAGGGCCTGGGGTGCTCTCCTTGGAGGACAGAGGAGGTATAATCCATGGGGGACACGTGGAGTGGGGATGGGCACTGGCTTCCACAGCTGCCCATCTGGCTCGTCACCCTGTGTCTGTACTACATGAGAGCTATGTGGGGTTGGGATGGCTGCAGAAGACTCGGGGCAACACTGGACCAGCTTGGCCCAAGCTGACCACAAGCACTTGTGCATATGTGTGTGTGTGTGTGGGTGTGTGTGTGTGTGTAGGGGGTAAGGAGGTGAGGAGGGGGGGTGCAGGGCACTGCCCCACAGAAGGTGGTTCTGTGCAGCTCCTGGGACAACAGGGGGGCTTCCAGAGGAGCACTCCAACCCTGCAGGGACAGGGGCACAGACATGGGAGCCCTGAAGCCCCTGAGCCTTCCTGCTTGTAGGTGGGGGAGAGTCAGCATATAGACATTAAAGTTCCCAGCCCTCTGCCTGGAAAGCTGGAGAGGACACAGGCAGGCTCATCCCTCAACAATAAACAAGGTCACTAGTTCAGGCAGGGGTCCAGCAGTTCCTAGAAGAGGCTGCCGGCTGACTGGACTTTGTGGCCAGGCCCAGCAGTGAGTCGGATTCTGGAGGGCCACCTCCCATACCATGTCTCCAGACATATGGTGTGGTGCCAAGGTCAAGCCCAGGGTCAATCCAGACCTGACTAGCAGGACAAGATCTGCAGGGATAAATGGCATCTAAGGCCTGAGGGGTCCAGGGAGAGGGTGGAGAAATCTGAAAGGAAGCTACTGGAAGTCCTTTCTCAGTGCCTCTGATCCATCCCCAGCCCTCCAATCCTGCTAAGACCCCACCCCTCAACTCTCAGTAAGAACAAGAAGATGAAATAAATTCCCTGAGACACCCAGCCAGCAAGCAGCTGTTCCTGAGAAGGTACAGGGCCAGAGCAGGTTGTGAGGGGTGCTACTACCCCCGGCTGAGCACGGCTAAAGACAAGACTAGAGGGAGATTACCGTCTCATCAGGCAGTGGGGGCAGAGCTTGAGGACACTGTAACTTCTCATTTGAGCATGGGAGGCCAGGACTAGGGTACCCCAGGCAGACAGGGGCTCAGGTATGGCAGGGAAGCTGGTAAACAGTCTGTCTACCTGGTCCCAGCCTGGCTGCATGTTAGCAAGAGGGAGGAAGACCTGTTTACACTGACAGGGCCAGGACTCTGCAGACATAGTAGGCGTCACTAGCAGAGGGCAGTCGTCCAAACACAAGTCTCTACCAACTGTGTGGCAACAAAGGGCAAAGCCTGGGCCAGAAGCCACTCTGCCAGCTTCACAGAGAGCTCAGGACTGGCTCCAGCACCATCCGAGCCTCCTGAGGATCCTTAAAGCTCTGATAATTTTGACTTGGTCAGGCAACGGGAAGGAATTATAGTGAGGAGTGGACACAGGTAGCCAGGCCATCTCAGAGCAGAAGGCACTACCGGGGGCAGGGGCAGGCTCCACAGGGTCCAAGGCTGAGAACTCTCCTGGACTGTACCTTGCTTCCTGGACGCTGTGGCACCCCAGGCTTCAGAGCGCTGGGCTCTGCTTCGCTGGCTACTGTCGAGGCGGATGTGCACCTGCAGGGGAATGTGTACAGAAGCACAGACCCACCCAGTGGCCCCAGGAGGCCCTGCAGCACAAAGGTGGCTCCTACCTTATAGAACTTCGAGGCTCCCTTGTTTTCCGCAGAGCCAGGTTTGGATTCGGATGAGTCAGTACTGAAGACCATCTGGAGGGCAGAGACCATGATAGGCAGTCAGCTTATATACAGGACAGATGGGCTCTCAGAGTGCCATGTACAGCACTGCTGGCCAGTTGACCCAATATCATCCTTGCAGTGTGGGCCCATCACTAAAGTTTAGGCCAGTCTCCATGAACTGGCTTGTCCCATGACCATCCCCAAAGTGTAGGTCCATCATGGTGGTGTGGCCCAGTCCTCAAGGTGCAGGCCTGTCCCCAGGAGGTAGCCTTATCCCTGTGGGGTGACCTGTGCCTGTGGTAGGCCCAGTGTGGTTTCTCCTCTAGGGGACACACAGAGCATTCTGTTCCACAGCAGGGGGGACTCACAGGGCAGGGCTCATTAGACTACAGAACTACAAGGAGCCCTTGTTCAGCAAATTCCAATCAAAATAAGAGCAGAGCATGAGAAGAGCTGAGAATAAAACCCATGAAGTAGAGGGGTCCCCTTGTCAACATAAATGAGAAAAGGAGTGTGGCAGTGAGGGAACTACCAAGACAGACTGCAATGGAGGAATGGGTGGGACCAAATCACAGGCCACGCTCAGAGACACAGCACACAAGGGAAGCCTGTGGCATGCTGCCACAGCTCTCTCATGAAGAGTGGCATCACACACATGCACGGCACACAGGCCTGTCAATAGCACAGTACTACTCCAGGAGTCATCTCTGGGCTGATCCAGCCCATGGAGTGGGAGCAGAGGCGGCACATACACTAGATCTCACATTTTCCCAAAAAGGAAGCCATGGGTGGAGTCGAATGAGGCTCTGATGCCTCCAATAGTGACCCTGGGTGCAGGGCCTCACATAAGCCCCTCTTCCACACTAACCAGGAGAACAGACTCCTCTCAGCTCACCTCCCACTGAGCCCTACTTGAGGCAGCTATACCCTCTGACACCTGTCCATCTGGGCTGTCTTGTGGACAGCCCCACACATGTGACTACAGTCCAGACTAGCTCTGCAAGCCCCCATGGTGTGTGCAAAGAGCTACAGGCCATGTCGGGAAGGGTAGCCGTGAGTGTCCTCTACCACTTGACCATCAGAATATGAAGAGTAGAGCCACATGGGTGCACTGGTGGGACCAGCCAAGTGAACATCCAAACAGGAAGGAGGAAGAGCCAGGTGGACTCCAGGGGACCAAGCACAGCCCCCGCCTTGACACAGGCATGTGCAAAGGAGAATGTCTCCAAGCACATGGACGTGTCAGCCACTGTGTGCAGGTGTCTGCAGCCAGGTGTGGGGGAGGGGCAGGCAGCCCCTTCAAACACTGCCAGTCTGCAGTGAGTGGAAGTTAAGGAAGGCAGAGGTGCTGACCGCTGCCGGCCGGCCTCCACCCATGCTCACAGGCCCTCGGCCGACAGAAGTGCACTGGCCAGGCAACGCCTTGCTGTTGCTGGCAGATGTGCAAACATGCTGTCAACTGCCAATACAGGCATGGGTGGGAGCAGGAGGGGCTGAGCCAGGCCAGGGCCAGACAGAAAGCCTGAGGGCTCCCTGGAGCAGTTCATGCCTGGAACCTGAGCTGCAGAGGAGGGGCTGACTGGTCCAGAACCCCAAGATGACTCAGTGGTTGCTCACAGGTCAGAGGACAGCAGGTGCAGACAGAGGGCAGGCTCACACCTGAAGCAGCCCCTCTTATTCTGGGGATGCTAGATCGGGGGACGAGGAGCTTGGAGGTGGGGACTGGAGTGGTACGGAGCAAGAGGACAGAGCACTGGCCCTCCACACCCCAAGGGAGATCACACCACCTCCTGCCACACACACCCAGCACACATGTCCACTATATAAATGGGGGACAGGCTCAGATTGGTGGAGCCACTCAGCTGCCCCTCAGGCCCTCACCAAGCTCTGACATATAGAGCCTCTGCTGGGCAGGAGGCAGCTGATCCTCCGTGGGCTGTGTCACATTGTCCCCAGTGCTGTGTACCCATGGCCCAGAGCAGCCCAGACTAACTGACTGAAGCCTTTCTAGAGGATGTGGTAAGGATGAAGTGGGATTCTAGGACCCAGGTTCTATCCACTGGTGGGTCACTGATAGACATGCAGTGACAGGAATGTAACAAGAGAAGATGCCCTATCTGGGATGTGCTCACAGAATGCAACCTGGCCTGTCCAGCAGAGCTGGTGGTGGGATCACTGTGTGCAGTCTGCTCTCACACTCAGGAAAGGCTGGCAACATGGCCAGTCGGCACATGGCCAAGGCCAGCACTTTCATAAAAGAGTGGTAGTGGCCACAGCCCAGAGGATCAGAGGGTGAAGAGGGCTAATGCAGGGCCAGCACTCACAGCAAACAGCCCACTGAGGAGTCTGTATGGTCTTGGGGTACCAGGGAAACAGCTGGGGTTCCCAGCTTACCTACCCTGGCCTGGCAAGCAGCCTTACCTGAATAATGTCTGCGAGCTTCTGCAGTCCTGCTGTGTTGGTGAACACGCCGGCACCTGGTGGGCAGGGCTGTGTGTGACTATCCCCACAGCGACGGCTGGCCTTTGGGCCGCAGGGTATGCCACTAGGCCAGTATATCCTGGCTAGGCAGCAGGCACACCCACGAAGGGCAGCTCTCGTGGGACTTGCGAACTGGCAAGCAGCTGACCACCTCCCCAGAGCCCCAGGCCATGAGGATGGCAGAGCTGACTCTGGACCTTGGTGGCAGCAGTCCAAGATAGCACAGCCCTGCCTGGGCCGTGTGTATGCCCTGTAAGGTGCCCTCTGGCCTGGCTGTCTGCAGGCAGGTCCCTCCTGGATGTGCAGTGACAGGGCTGACAGGACTTGTACCTCAAGCTCATGGTTCTGTACCCCCTGCTGTGGGCTGAGGGGGAAGCAGCTGCCTGACAGAACCCACTTCTGCTCAACCACCTGAACCCATGCCCCAGCAGGGAAGGTATGCCAGCCTAAAAGCAGTCCTACACACTTGCCATCAAGTACCAGCCAGATAGAGGGGAAAGTCCTCGTCTATTGACCCTAAAGCTCCGAGTGCTGGACTGATGCCAGCAGGGTCTCTGAGGGTCGCCCTGAGTGGTGAAAGGTCTGTGAGTATCAGCGGAGAAGGACTGGGCAGGTCCTCAAGCAGCTCAGCTCAAGGACCGCTCCTCTGCCTATAGTGTCTGACTTCCCCCTGGCTCAGCACAGTCCCCAGGGAGTGGGTGGGGAGGGCTGACTCACGGCCTGCCAGGTGCTGGATGACCTGGTCCAGTAAGTCCAGGATGCAGCCTTTGGTCTGAAATGTGATCTGGGCTTCTGCAAACAGCTGGAAGATGTAGCTGCCAAGGAGAGAGGAGCTCAGGCCAGGGAAGCCATATACACCTCTAGTTATGGTTACAGCACCCTCAGCCAGAGGACACTAGCTGGTCAGTAAGGACTCTACCAGAGGCCCAGAAGGAGAGAAGCAGTGACCCCAGGTCAGAGGTGAGGGACAGTGTCAGAGGCTATCAGGGGTGTCCTGGTGGCATCAAGGGTGCTTCCAAAACAGCCACTGAGGGTAGGAGCTCCAGGAGGAGATGTGAGCCAAGCTGTGTCTGCAGAGCCCAGTGAGGAGACTACCCATCTTCCTCAGGAGGACCCGAACAGCATGCCAGTGAGGTGGCTGCACAGTTTCACCACTAGGTCACCGAAGCTCCCTAGAAATGCTAGTGCTACCTGGGCGCCATGTGTAAGCTGTATGATCTGTGTGCGAGTTCTGTGTGAGTGTCGTGTGGGCTGAATGTGACCTCTGTGTGAGCTCTGTGTGTGAGCTGCTTGAGTTCCGTGTGAGAGCTCCATGTGTGAGCCCTGAGTGTGATACGTGTCTGAGCTCCAAGTATGATCTGCATGTGACCGTGGTATGTAAGCTCTGCGTGAGAGCCCTGAGTGTAATCCATGTGTGAGCTGAGTGTGATTATGTGTGAGCTCCACGTGAGCTGTATGATCTGTGCATGTAAGCTCCACGAGTGAGCTCTGAGTGTGATCCGCGTGTGAGAGCTGCATGTGAGCTCCAGGTGTTAGCTCTGTAATCAGCATGTGAGCTCCGCGTGTGAGCTACATGTGATCTATGTGAATTTACCATGTTGTCCAAGCACTGTGAGAGTTGGGAAACCCAGCAGATAGCACTGGAATACAGAATCCCAGGGGAGGAGAGGGACTTTTAAGAAATGAGTGGGCTGGTGTGCAGAGTGTCTGCCACTCCTGTCCAGCTCAAGGTAGCCCAGAAGCCAAGGGTTCAGTTGCTTGTCCCTCACCTCCCTGGCTTGGTGACACCACTGTCTCCGGGCAACTTGATGGCATCGATGGCTCCTTCCAAGTGAAGCAGAATCACTAAGGGCAAGAGACTGTCGTCAAGGCATGCTCACCTTGCAGTGCCTGGCCTGGCCCAGGTAGGAAGACGGAGAAGAAGATGGGGGGGTAGGGAACTCACTCTTCAGCTTTGCGATGTCTTCCAGCGCCACGTTCAGCCCTAAACAAGAGAAAACAAGAGATTGCCATTGTTTTCCACCAAGCCCAGAGCTTGAGACCCAGGGTTCTGAATAGAAGGCAGAGGATGTGGATTAAGACAGACATTGACAGGCCATCCAGAGGGTTTGGACACAAAGCAGAAGTTGCAGAATAAGTGGTGTGAGTCCTCAGCATTTTGTGAATTTAATCCCTTCGCAAATGGGTTTTCTGTCCCGTTCATGTGGGAAGATTTGTGTAGGTATATCTGAATCCACTTCTCTTAAGATATAAAAAGAGCAAGCAAGAAAAGCAGTCAAAGATAGAGGAAGAGAGATGGAGCTGAGTTACAGGGAGTGCACCAAAGGGCAGAAGCTGAGAAGACAGAGACCTTCTCTCCACAACTGTCTCAAAGAAGGCCCTCCTCTGAGGCCAGCACTCCAAGTTCACGGAGGAAAGATACATTTCTATGTGCTAAGTCATCAGGTTGTGGTATCTGTAATAATGGCACTGCAGCAGTAAGGCAGGGACCCCTGCACTACAGAGGCCAGTGCTGCCCGGCCCTCCAGTGTCCTCATAGAAATTGCTAGTGGATCCAATGTTGCAGTCACATGTCAGTCAACCTGAGGGAGGAGGCCTCCTCTTTCTCACAGACGTTCTACTTTATCAAGCACAATACACTTCCCTAGAGCCTGGCCTCATCATCCTCACTTCCAAATTATTTCACCAGGAGAAAACTTTCCAATATAATGATTATCAACAGTTAAGTGCCACCAAATAATGATCAAGAACTTCCAAAATGTAAAAGAGCCAGATGCAGAGCACTGAGAGGTGGTGCTGCACTACACAGCCACACACAGAAGGGGCAGGAACAGGGTGAGGAGCGTGTGGAGCAGCTGTGAGCTGTGCAGGATATGAGGGAAGCACACGCTGGTCACACTCATGTTCCCATGTCACAAGTCAGGTATCGCCAAGTAAATTGGTCAGGGCGCCCAGTGACAAGTGATAGGACCGACCAAACTCAAGCCTCGACCATTAACAAAGACCACATGTTGTTTGTTGTTGTTATGTGCCGTCGAGCCATTTGCGACTCATAGTGACCCTATGAACAACAGCCCTAAACCATGCTCTATCCTGTGCCAATCGCATTGCCTCTGACACACCCATCCCGAGTACCCCAGTCACTGAATCAATCCACCTCATAGAGGGTCTTCCCCTCCTGCACTGTCCCTCTACTCTACCCAGCATGATGTCCCTCTCTAAAGACCTGTCTCTCCTTACAACATGTCCAAAGTATGTCAGACTAAGCCCCAGAATCCTTGCCTCCAAGGAGCAGCCTGGTTTAATCCTCTCTACGATGAATCTGTTTGTTTTCTTGGCAGTCCATGGTACATTCAATACTCTTCTCCAGCACCACAGCTCAAAGGCGTCAATTCTCCTTCTATCCTCCCTAGTCATTGTCCAACTCTCTGATGCATAACAAGTGATTGCAAAACCCACGGCCTGTATCAGGCAGATCTTAGTCTCCAGAGAGACACTGTTGCTCTTGATTATTTTGGAGAGGTCCCTAACCACAGACTTTCCCATCGCAACACGTTTTTTGATTTCCTGGCTACTGGTGCCAAGAGTGTTGACCGTGGAGCCGAGCAAACTGAAGCTGTGAACAATCTCAGTCTCTTCGCCATCCATCCTGATGCTACCGATTGGTCCAGTGGTGAGAATTTTTGTCTTCTTGACATTAAGCCTCAGTCCATATTGAAGGCTGCAGTCCTTGACCCTCTGCAGTAAGTGCATGAGGTCCTCCTCAGTTTCAGCGAGCAAGGTTGTGTCATCTGCATAATGCAGATTGTTGATAGATCGTCCACCAATCCTAACGCCACGCCTCTCCTCATAGAGCCCCGCCTCTCGGATAATCTGCTCTGCATACAGGTTGAAAAGGTATGGAGATAGGACACATCCCTGACGTACACCCTTCCCAATTTTGAACCATGCAGTGTTGCCCTGCTCTGTTCTGACAACTGCCTCTTGGTCCAAGTATAGGTTTCGCATTAGCACAATTACATGTTCTGGGATTCCCATTCTTCTGAGTCAGCCACAGTTTGTTATGATCCATGCAGTCAAATGCTTTTGCATAATCAATGAAACACAGATAGACATTCTTCTGGTATTCTCTGCTTTCAGCTAAGATCCATCTAACATCAGCTACAATATCCCTAGTACCATGACCCCTTCTAAACCCAGCCTGGACTTCTGGCAGTTCTCTGCTGATGTACTGTTCCAGTCGTTTTTGGATAATCTTCAGTAGAATCTTGCTTGCATGTGAAATCAATGATATTGTTCTGTAGTTTCCACACTCAGCTGGGTCGCCCTTCTTTGGGATGGGAACAAATATTGATCTCTTCCAGTCAGTTGGCCATATAGAGGACAGAAAATGATAAAGGCAGACATAGAAGAGGTTTCTCAAGGCACCGTAGTTACCACAGTGCACAGTGACTACACACCTACACACACAGCACAGGAAGGCAGTGAGAGGGATGTAGACCAGCCTGCAATAGCAGTACTTAACACACGGTCACCCACCAATGGGGACTAGAGGCGAAGACAGAAATGCAGGAATGCTACACAGTCAGGAGTGTAGGAGCATGCCCAGAGGCAGACACAGGTTCGCTCATAGGTCCTTCTACACACAGTACTGCAGGAGGTGTGTGGATATGAACATAGACACTGAGCACCGAGAAGCTGTGGGCTGCTCTGGCATAACCAAGTTCCGAGGTGCACCCACGTCAGCTGGTACCACATGGTTCCCAACGTCCTGCCTCAGCAAGCAACATCTGATCGACAATTACTGGTCTCTCTCATCTGCAACAAAGGAGTGATGAGAGCAAGAGTCCACAGAGCCAGTGGGCCCACAGCCAAAGCCTCCGCGGGGCCCAGTTACCACTGCTGACCACTCTGACTGGGGCACAGCTGAGGGTCCTGAACAGAGCAGAAGAAATGTGGGTTTTGTTTCTTTCTTTAGTGTAGGCACCCGAAATGCCATCAAAATGGAAGAAGACTCAGAAACTTCAGGGCCACATGGGCCACAGCCACGCTGCATGAGGAAGCACCTGGAGCCAAGGTAGCACCGGCGGCTGTATCACCACAGGATCAAAGAATCCCATCCAGGTTCTTTAGGAGAGTGTGGTAGGAGACATCACCACCTCAAGAAGAATCAGAGTTTCTGCTGTCAACCTTGACAAATTACAGACCTTGGTCAGTGAGCAAATGAGAGTAAAGGCTGCAAAAAACAAGACTGGAGCTGCTCCTATTAATGATGTGGCTTGATCGGGCTACTACAAAGTTTTGGGGAAGGGAAAGCTCCCAAAGTAGCCAGTCACTGTGAAGCCAAATTTTTTAGCAGAAGAGCTGAGGAGAAGATGAAGGGGTTTGGGTAGCCTGTGTCCTGGTAGCTTGAAGCTGTGTTAATTACATGGAGGTTGGTTTATTAAATGTTTTCCCTTATGACCTCAGTGTAGGTTCTTCGGTGGCACCTATGCCTACATCATGGCCTGGATCTCCAGACTGACATAATTGCTCTTCAGTATTCTGGAGAGGTTCCTGACAGCAGAATTTCCCCATGAAATTTATCTTTTACTTTCTTGGCTGCTGATACCAAGAGTGTTGACTGTAGAGCCAAGCAAACTAAAGCTGTCAATAATTTCAATCTCTTCATCATCTATCATGATGCCACCAATCAGCCCAGGGGTGAGAATCTTTTTTTTCTTGATGTTGAGCTTAAATCCATATTGAAAGCTGCAGTCCTTGACCTTCTGCAGCAAGTGCTTCAGGTCCTCCTCGGTTTCAGCAAGCAAAGTCGTGTCATCTGCATAACCCAGGTGGTTGATGAGTCTTCTTCCAATCCTGATGCCACATTCCTCCTCATAGAGCCCAGCCTCCTTGATGATGCTATGTTATCAGAAAGCTGGATAATGACTAGGGATGACAGAAGGAGAACTGATGCCTTTGAGCTGTGGTGCTGGAGAAGAGAATTGAATATACCATGGACTGCTAAGAGAATAAAACAGGTTTGTCCTAGAGAGAGCAAAGCCAGGCTGCTCCTTGAAGGCAAGGATTCTGAAGCTCCATCTGACCGACTTTGGACATGCTGCAAGGAGGGATCAGTCCTTGGAGAGGGACGTCATGCTTGGGAGGGTGGAAGGACAGCACAGAGGAAGACCTTCAATGAGATGGATTGACTTAGTGACTGGGGTACTGGGAGTGGGTTTATGAGGTACAATAAGGTTGGCTCAGGATAGAACAAGGTTCAGAGCTGTTGTACATAGGATCATTGGGTTGCAGGCGACTTGACAGCACATAACAACACACCTACATCACTAATCGTGCAGCAAATGCTGAGCAAGATCAGGAACTCAACTAAGTATGTGGGCCAAGGTTTCCTGCTGACGGAGATGAGTTAGCACTTCAGAGGTTTGGGCCATTACCTAATAGAACACTTGATTTACAAAGAAAAAATCCAATGCACAAGTAGAGCAGCATTACTCTCTGACAGGGACTAGCACCTGAGACCGAGGCCTGGAGACATCCTTCTGGCCTAGAATTCAGGAACTCCCACCAAGGCAACAGACTCACCAAATAAACACCTGAGAGAAATGAGTTCTAGGAGCAGTCAGTTACACAAGATCAAAGCAATATATGCCCAAACACAAGGACGAGAGACAGGAAGGGGCAGAAAACCCAGACAGAAGGCAGCATCTCCCAGGGCGGAAATGGGGAGAGTGCAAACACATCATGGAGCTATGCCCATGTTACAGAACACTTCACAGACAAAAGTGACCAGGAAATACACTGCTCCATAAACTCTCACAATACAAGATCTTTAAAAAAAACAAAAGTAACAATAAGAAAAACCTTCGTAAGAAGAAAAACCTTAAGAGAACACACCTGCCAACAATGAAAATGAATCCATGAAAGTAGTATGCTACAACAGGAAAGAGACTATTAGAAAAATATGGATGGACAACAGGTATTCGCTGGTTCAAATCCACCAGATGCTCTACTGGAGAAGGAGGAGAAATCTCCTGTACTAGTCAGATCCAATTTGATGGTACACACACACACACACACACACACACACACACACACCCCAACAAAAAAAAACAAACAGGTATTCACACAGGTTGTTTACAAAATAATGTCAAGACAGTAGCTTTTCAATTATACCAAAAAAAACCCAAAACCAAAAAAGTTCATTGCCATTGAATCAAGAGTTCTGAGCTGACCCTCCAGCTGATTTTCAGAGGCCGTAAATCACACAGAAGAGTGCTCAACTTTTTGGTCCAGGACTTAAGAACAATAATTGACATAGTTGAGCCTCTACATCTTGTGGTTCCTAACCTTTATACTATAATAGACAAAGTGCTAGTCAATAAGCCTTTTATTTTAAGAACTACCTTCCCTCTGTAACTTGATTTGTGCCACTGTTAGAACCTCTACTTGGAATATTATTGCTTTTAATTTTTTACTCCTGTACTTTTAACTTGTTAGTTAAATCTGTGTCTTCTAGGCTGCAACAGTTCCATGATACATCTTCAAGGATATGAACATGTATGGCTAAGCACAACTGATAACACTGCATCTAAATTCCAAAATCAATCTCCACAATAGTCTATGTGTTTCCTATTGCCAAAGGGAATTGACAAGCACTGTGGCAATGAGACAATTAAAACAGACTTTCAACTGAAAAAAAAAAAGGAATGAACTGGGGGTGGGTAGAGAAAATAGTTCAACAATGAATGAATGGAAATCCAAAATCTGTAAATTTTCATTAAAATTAATAACGTTTAATAAAAATTAAAACAAAACAAAAAAATGCTCAACTTTGTCCCACAGAGTTAGTGGTGGATTTGAACTGCCCACCTCAGGGCTGGCAGTACATCTCTCTACCAAGCAGAGGCCAAATGAAGACCACCTGGAAACAATCAGCTGGGAAGGGAGTAAAGACCTTTGGAAAGGGCAGGCCCCTCCTTGACTCACCGAGGCCCCCATCAGGCTCCAGGAGGTCACGCTGCTGTGTAGCCGTGGCCTGCTCCTCCAGGACCTGGTCTATCACATCCAATCCGGAAGCCAAGTCATGAGGGGTCAAGTCAAAGGATGCCGACTCCTCACACATCTTCTCCTAAGAGCCCATGAAACACCCACGGACACACGTGTCATGGCCTGAACAAGTAGAGACTCAGACGTTGCCTGTAAAGAGCTGAAAGCTGTCCTCCCCAGAGCACATCACATCCACCTCTAAAGCCAGAGCCATTCGCTGGCCCAAAAACGTACCAGGTCAGGCCCACACTACTGTCTCAAAACAGTTTTACTTGAGTTACCAACATTTCATAATCAGAAATACTCCATGTAAATCTAGAGTTTTGGCTTCTCTCGAAAACCAGAGAACCTGGAGTAAGGTTGACTTCCATGGCAACACAACTGGAAGAGCACAACCATCAGCCAGCGTCTGCCCCTGACCAGGATTGGGCCTGCCGTGGGGTGCTGACCATCCCTGAAGCCTTCCACCACAGGAGCAGGGAACCTGAGGACGTGGCTGAGCCTGGCACAGGTGGGTGTCTAGAAGCCACCTCTGTCAGTGTGGTCACCAGGGACAAACCTGAGACAGACAGACACTGCTAGCCTGCAGGAGGGGCTCGAGGCCTATCAGTGTGGTCAGGATGTAGCCACCAAGGAAGTAAGGGGCACCTCAGTGGCTTTTTTTAGGGAGCAGGGCCAGCAAGGCCTTTTGGCCCTGGACAAAGTAGCCACAGAGGAAACTGTCTTACAGAAGCAGAGGCTCCAAGTCCCCCCTGGGTCCCTGCATAACAGTCCAGGGCCCAGCCACCTCCACCCTCACAGGCCAGAGTTCAAGACCTCTCACCCCCATCCCCAGTCCCTCAACCCTATGCCCCCTCACCTCCACATCCAGGTCCTCTCTCACCCCTGGGTCCCCTCACCCCCACATCCAGATCCTCTCACCCCCATCCCTAGACCCTCATCCCTAGGCCCATTCACCTCCATACTCAGGTCTTCTCACCTCTTCACTCGAGTTCCATCACCCAGGTCCCCTCATTCCCACACTTGGGTCCCTACACCCCTGCACCCAGGTCCCCTCACCCCCGCAGCCCAATGCCTCGGAGCCCTGCCAAGGCTCTGGCAGTTATCTGGCCCCCACCCCTCAGGAAGACAAAATCGGGCTGGACTCACCACATTATGAGCTTCATCAAAAATCACCACAGTGCCCTTCAGATCAATATTATGTGCTCTGCGACTCTATAGGAGAGGATGGAATGGATACTCAGCAAGCCGACAGACTGCCCACTCACAGAACAGAGAGAAACTGAGGCATCTGCGATGCTCACAGGCAGAGGGAAAGCAGACACTGCTGAGGCTCCAGCTGCTCCCCTCCTTCATCTACTACCCCATTTCTCTGGGGCAGCCACATAAGCTCAGCTCCAACCCTGTGGCTGAAACCTGACTTCCTCAGGAACTGGGCTGAGGCGTGAGGGACTTCCTGTACCCTGGACACTCAGCCTTAGAAAGACAAAGGTACCAGGAGCCAGTGCCTCCTTCTTGTGACTGCTAACTGCCCAACTCTCTCAAGTCCCTTCTGGCTTGTGCCCTGAGGGTCCAGCAACGCTCGCCACCTCTGCCCACCAGACTCCTCGTCCAGTTTTGTGGCCTCAAGGTCTGCAGAGTGACGTAAAGATGGAGGCTTCTTTCCTGTAGATGGAGAACCACCTGGAGTGTCCAAGCCTTGGTGCAGGCCTGCTGGCCATAGGCTGTCCACAGAAAACTGCCTGTTGTGCACACACAGGTCTACTGGGTGCAGTCCTGGCTGGAACCCCTCAAGAGCCATGAACTCAGAGGGAGTTACCTCCAAGGCCTCGTCAATTTTAGGAGTGATCTGGAAATGCTACATATAGATGTTCTGAAGTTTTCTGACTGTGCTCCCGGGCAGCCTGAGTCTGACCACTGTACTCCACCAGTCACCCTCACTGTGACCACGGCCGAGCCTTCTGCCTTCACTCTCCCTCTCCTATATACTCAGCACCAACCCTTTCAAAGAGCCAAGTGTCCATCGTCCGAGTGTGTGGACACTGGCAGCTCCAGGCCTCCTCCTCAGTGGCCCTGACACAAAGCCCTCCGAGGGCCCCTCCCCAGCCAATCTGACTGGCATCCCTCTTGATGATGCTTGCTGCCTGCCCCGAGAGCCCACAAAATGGCCCAAGGCCTCAAGTGTCCACTACTATCTGGCCAGCTCATTCCAAAGTAGGTAGAGGTCTTGGAGTTCCAAGCTCAGAGATAACATGATAGCAGAACTACAGGGTAAACCCTCACCTTGGGGTCCAGCAAGTAATTATAGGGCATGAAGATGATGTCAGCTTGCTGCTTCAGGTTCCGAGAAAGGTAATACGGGCAAACCCTAGGCAGGGAGGGGGCAGAAGGAAAGGGGTCAGGCTGTCCATGGGAACAGGGAAGTGGGAAGCCCCCATGGACTCAGGTGGGCATGCAGAGGGTAGCACAGCATACGGGGATGCAGGTGGGATATCTACATGGCCTGACAAGGCTACCAGCAATCCAAGGCTGAGGATGAAGGGAGCCACACCTCCTGAGGACTTGCCACCCACCTTTTCCTACACTGTCAGAAACCCAACCCATTTCTAGGCAGACTACTCAGGTGATCAGAAGAGAAAACAAGCCTGCGGAAAAGGGACAGGTAAATCTTTATCCTGACTTGAATCCCCAAAGCCACATGAAAGGTTATAAGATGCCATCCTCAGAAAATGAGGCCTCAAACAAGCAGCTTGGGGTGCTGACTGGGGAAGAGTAGGGGTGCCTTACACTTGAACACTGCTCAGGGTCTCAAGGACCTGCTGCAGGCATCCCTCCTCTCCCTGTGCAGGAGAGTCACTGTGGGTGCAAAGACCCTGCTGACAAGTGATCATGGTTCTGTAGGCGGGGGCTGAGAAGGAAGATCTTCATTTACACCCAACACAGGTTGTTGTATGGTAAGAAAATAAGGGGGAGAGACAGCAGCGTCACCAGTCAGTGCCCCAGGATATCGTGGACAAAAATCCCCCATGGAGGGTGGCGACCTCAGGGCCATTAGCCCCTGAGGGAAGTCCACAGGAAAGGAGGACCCTAAGTGTCCATACTTGTGCTTGCTCCCACTCTTGACCAGGTCCTCGATGTCCAGGATGGGGGTGACCAGCTCCTGTTCCAGACTTTTCTCTGGAGATACGGAGGGAAGTACATGAGCGCATTTGGGGTACCCCGTGACATTTCTCACAGCCCAAGAGATGTCCAGCACAGAGAGGCTCACAAAGGGAATGGTGAATCCAGCCACCCAAGACCTCTCCCTCAAGGCAGAAGTGGCATGTCCAGCAAACTGTAGACTAAGACCAGAGGAATATGACCACCCTGTGATCTGGGACCCCGCACGGCCACCCCTGCACTTAGGGCAATGCTGGCCAAGGCTGAGTGTAAGCAACCAGCACTGAGCTGGCCCCACAGAGCCTCTCAGAGAGTCCCCATCTCCTCAACGGGGCTGGAACGCAAACTCTAGGGGAGAACAGGTATGCTTGCACCTCAAGCCTACTTTGGTGTTTCAGTTCTGAACCGCTGTCAGTTTCATCATGTAAATAAGGAAGGACAACCTCCCTAGAGGTCCACAGCAGAGCTCTTGGACAGTAACTTGGGTGCCAGGCCCTGGCCGGCAGGACCAGTGCCTGCTGTGACAACGTGTGGAGTCACACACTGGAGTCAAGGCATAGGACAGAGACGCAGCCCAGTGTTCCTTGAGCCGAGAACCACAGCACCATGAGGAGAGTCAGCAGGACGCAGCCTTCAGCAGCACCATGTGCTCAGCTGAAGAACTGGAGTGACCACAACCAGCTGGATAAGGCTGAGGACAAGAGGAGAGGGGCAGAGCAAGGAGGTGACCACTAGGGAGTGAGAAGGATAAGAGGAGAGGTAGGGGAAAAGCAGTGGGAAGGAGGGTAAGCAGCCATCTGTGTGGCTGTCTACAATGTCCTGGGGCACCACACCCCTCAGAGCCCAACTTTGGGGGTTCCAGCACTCCTTTTTCCTCAAAGGCACATTCTTCTCAGGTCTCTGCCACATCCCACCATGGGAAGAAGGGGGCTGAGACACAAGGAGGCACCTCATGCCCAGGATTCTAAGTAGCTGCTCTGTTGACAGGTCTGTGACTTCTATCACATACTCTCCTAAGGGATGTGGGGACAGGAATGAGGTCCGGAGCCCAGGGAACTGCCACAAGCCCCTTCTCCTAGCCACCTCCCCCTGGCCACTCCCTGCTCAGAGTCACTGAAGGTGAGGGCTTGCCGTGGCTGAAGCTGCCAAGGTTGCCTCTGCATCAACCCCTCTGCCAACATTATTTACAGAGCCACCTCAGCCCCCCGCCATTACAGAAGCGAGTGTAGGAGGGGCACACAGGCCTCAGGCCCTGACCACAGACCCAGCAGGGATGACAAGGCCCAGGGGATTCAACCTGACTACTGCGAGGGCCTGCATGTATACCCACCTGCTGAGGGCTTGCCCTCTAAAGACCAACCACATGGACCAAGTACCACAAGGCTAGGATCTTGAGCGCCAGCTAACCAGACAGCAGTAACAACTGTGTACCTAGCAGGCCTTGGGATGATTCTCCTGCCCCGTTTGCCCACCATGTCCAAGGAAGCCTGGGTTTTCACTCTGCTATAGGAGGGTGCAAGAGTACAAGTTCCCTCAGCGTAGGACACACCCACCTCACACAGAACACGCCCACTGCTTACAGGACACACCTATGTACACAGGTCATGCCCACCCAACACCTGGCACACCCACTATCCACCAAACACACTGACCATGCATAAGACAGGTCACACCCATCCTACACAGGACACGCCTACTATACGCTGAACATGCTCACTGCTGACAGGATACATCCATCACACAAAGGGCTTGTCTACCATATATCTGACAGACCTACATGCCCGCCACGCAGAAGGCCACACCCACAGTGCAGGAGGCCACATCCCTTGTACAAGCGCGCACACACACACACACACACACACACAGAGAGAGAGAGAGAACCCAGCACACAACTCAGAGCCCCTGGTTGGCATGAATGAGCTTTCTGCTCTCTCAGGATCAGACCTTAGTGCTCGGGACAAGAAGCACAGAGGACACTCCAATAACTCAAGTCTGAATCCTGGAACCACGAGCGGCAGAAGTGTGACTCCCTGGAGCCCACACCAGAGAGCTGCCTCTGCTATCACTGCTGCGTGATGGGAGAACTAGGGGTTTGTTAGTGGCCAAGGTTCCCCAGGGGCTGCTCAAAGAGCCTCTGCCTGGCACCTCCCGTCTGCCTGGCACTTCCCGACTCAGCCTCCTCACAAGGCCAAGTTCCACACCAACCACCTGGAACACAGCATGACTCTTCGCAGAAAATGTGAGAACTCTCCTGAAATCCCCATTTCCAGGCACCAGGGGCCCACCCTGAACTCAGCCCCCACCAGAACAGTATCTTGGGGGTGCTGTGGGGGTCTCCTGATCCTCCCTACACTCAGGCCCACCCTAGAACGGCGCGTTGGAGTGCTGCAGAGACCCCTGTGTGCACCACTTAGCAGTGACCCACTCGGAAGGGGTAAATGCTCAGGCCCAAAGCCAGCAGCCCCGGGAATCCCAGGGATGAGAACCAGCAGGCAGTCAGGCACAGCTGGCTCAGGAATCTGCTCACACCACCTCCCAGGCCCACTGGGCTGGCCCAGGATGCTGCTCCAGAGAGCCTCTTACCGTCTACGTTGTTGTAGAAATAGCAGGAGCGGCTTGCCACCTTCCTACGACACAGGTGGATCTGCAAGGCAGTGACTTGAAGGCTGGGAGCCAGGGTGCCCGCAGGCATGCCCCAGCCAGTGTGGCCAGCCTTTGGAGGTCAGCCTGTTTCCACTCTACTCCCAGCCCAGCCAGCAGTCTGGGGTATGAGGATGACACCCGAGAAGCCCACCTGCATGTGGTTGCTCTCCTGCTTCTTCACCTCGGGGTGAATGCACAGTTGCTCCCGAGAGCCCAGCACACACACTCGGGGTCTGGGAGGATGGAGGAGGGAGAACCAGAGTGAGGTGGGAAGGGGGCTTCTCCAAGCAGCATGGCCCACAGAGTGGGATGAAGGCCCCAGGAGCACGTGAGTTTGATTCCTATAGATGGTAAGCAAGAGGTGACCAGAGGGGTGTGGCTAAGCAGAGCATATTCTTAGCTGCAGTGGCCACGGAGTCTCTTTCAGGGTAGATAAAGAGACAGGCAAGGAAACGGGACAGACAGAACAAGACTCATGGGCATCTACAAGCTCCCACAGTCCACACAGGCGCAGGCAGGAAGAGGGATGCAGATGTCCACGTGCACAGCTCCACCCAGGGCAGTGTTCTCCAAGGGCTTAGGCCTGGACAGAATTAGCAGACACAGTAGAACCCAAAGGCACTCAGAACACCCCAGTGAGGACGTGAACCCCAGATCACTCCAGAAAACAAAAGCTGCTTCTGCATAATGGTGGCCATGGGAGATATAAACCTCTCCTAGGTTAACATAAGAGGAATACTCCCAATGGGCTAGTCCAAGAATGACAGCGTATCACCAGAGGAACACTTCCCTTAGGCAGTCAGCATCATGTTGGACCATTCCCCTAGTCACCCAGAGGCAAGTAACCAGAGCCACCAGACCCACCTGTACGAGGTGTTCCGTAGTTCACCAATGACCTGTGTAAGCTGTGAGTGGGTCCTGGAAGCATAAATGATTTTTGGGATGTCCACATAGGAAGCTGTCCAGGCATGAAAACACACAAGAGAGTGTGGTCAGTCAGTGGAGTGACCTCTGCACTCCAAGACAGCACCTTCTGCATCTCCTGAATGTGAGAGTTATCAAACACTGAGACACTGATAAACTGACACTTCAGAACAGACATGGGACATGTGGGCATTGGCAAGGCCCCTAGATAACACCAGAGGGGGGAAAGCCAGAGACACCCTGCCCAAGAGATGGCTGGCACCCAGGTAGGCTCAACCTTCCCCAGACTACCACATCCTCTACCATACCCATGGTGAGGCCTGAGGGGCTGGAAAGTATCACCTGGGGTGTCCTCGGCAGAGGCAGTGCTGCCCCAAGACAAGGCCTGGTCGGGGAACAGCTCCCCTTGCAGACGCTCAGTGATCTTGCGAGCAGAGATGGAGTCCCGGAGGTGCTCGCGCCAGGCCAATGTGGAGCACAGGAGGCAGAGTGTCTTCCCTGTGCCTGTGGGGCTCTCCAGAATGCCATTCACTCTCTGAAAAGTGGAGACAGAACAGGGCTTCAGTGGAGCAGGCCAGTTCACAAGGGCACTGCAGACCACAGCCCATTCGGACAGGAATCCTGTGACCACTCTCCTCAGATGTGGAGCCCACCCATAGCAGGAGTAAAAACCCAGGAGACAATGGGCAAGCTAATTCAGCCTTTGTTAGCAAACAATTTGCAAACATTACCCAAATGTGACAGTATTTCTCAGCCTGATAAAAATACAAAGATAAGTAATGAGGTGCCAAGTCAAAATAGGGCACTGCTCTTGAAGTGTGTGGTCCCAGCTGCAGGAAATGGGTGGCCTACATACAAGCTCTCAGAGTAGAGTGCAAGAGCAGAGCTTGGCAGACAAAAAGCAAATTCTGTAGACTGTGCCCAGCTCCACAACCCTAACTCAAACCCACAACCACCAAAGGCATGTGCTCCCGGTGGATCATGGCTACACAGGTTGGAGCACCCAGCCAAGGAATCATAGGAAACACACCTGGCCCCACTCCTCTCTGCATATGTGAGGTTTTAGGTCTACCTTATGAGTGCAGAGGACCTCTTTGTACGTGAACTTCCTGCAGATCTTTCTCAGCTCAAATGTATCCCCCTCTGAAAAGCCCCTCAATCCACTTATTCTTTCCTTCAGAGCGTTCGTCACTGAAATCAATTCTGTCTACTTGTTGTTTTTTTCCTCCCATCCAACTGGGATACTAGTTTACAATTAGTCCCAATGTCCAGATCAAACCTGGCATGGGAGGGTGGCCTGAGTAAAAGACCCTATAGACGAGATCCAAGATGGCGGCGGAGGCAGAGACAGTGTGGTGAGCTGCGGGAGCAGCAAACCACTTAAAGCAGGGCCATTATGGCCTTCCACAGACTTTGGCTTATTGATAATTGAACACTGAAATAGTTGATGACTGGCCCTCAGTGAAGATCGAGGCTCAACAACAGGAATTCAAGGATTCCCAAGGAGAAATGGGTGAGTCTCGTGGGCCCCCAACATCCCCCCCCCCCCAGAGCCCTTGCCATGCCGCACAGCCGCTGCAGCTCCATGAGGCTTCCACAGAATGGATTCCCTCACCCCCAGGATGGATACTGGGCACTGGCCCTCCTCAAGACTGGTACAGTGAAGCCACCACATTGCCGCAAGATGGACTTGGTGTGGAAAGAATTCTTGGAGCCAGGATGGTGGCTGTGGGGGAAGCAGGCGCCCACTGGCCGCCAGTACAAGAGGGACCACACACCAGCCGAGCGCCTGTGTGGCGGGGTGTGGGGGAGCACCCCCAACGGCCGCCCACACTGGGGGGGCTGCGCGCCTCCCGCAGGCCTCCTGCGCTGGGGGGGGCGTGTCCCGCTGGCCACCTGCGTAGGAGGTGGGGGATGGGATGCATGACCCCCATCTGCAGGTTTGGGTCTCCTTGGACAGGCCAAAGAAGACGATTACCTATGCACTGGAAAGGCCAAAGAAGAAGATTACCTATGCAATGGATTGCTGAAAGTCACTGTGAGTCTGATGACCTTAACAGTGGCAGCATGCACAAGAGGACCGACATCCTAAATGCACCACATATTTTGTTCTGTTGAATGCTTCTGCCAAAAGATGGTTAGACCTGGGGGGAGTCTGTTCACAATTCTCAGGTTCCCTTTATCATATATAAAGGGGGAGGGTAGTGACACCTACTTCAAAATATAGTATGGCCACTTGGGGGGGGGTAAAAATGGCAGTGCTGGAATTGGAAACACTATCCCTGACCACAGAGTCCTTAGTCAGGCGAGGGGACCAGACTGGGGTAGGGGCAATTGGAGGGGAAGTATACCAGCCAGCTCCTGGGGGGTGTCGCCCTCTGCCTGGGGCGGGCTGCCCTCGGCCCCCGGCTCGGGGTGAGCCGTCACGGCCCTCTGCCCGGGGCGGGCTGCCCTTGGCCCTCAGCTTGGGGTGAGCCGTCACGGCCCTCAGGGTGAGCTCCTCAGTCCCCAGTTTGTGCCATTG